ACAGAAAAGGTGTAGTGTTCCACTAAGGAAATGCCAGACCACATACAAGTTTGGTAACCCACCAAAAGCTTGCACAGCTTAGATAGGATATACTGCCACACCCACCATATTCTCCAGATATTGCGCCTTCTGATTATTATTTGTTTCGGTTTCTACAAAATTTTTTAGATGGTAAAAGCTTTACTACAAATGAGGAAGTCAAAAATCACCTGGATCATTTTTGCTTCCCAGAAAAGAATGTATATATATATATATATGAGCATGGAATCATGCTATTGCTAGAAAGATTTCAAAAGGTATTGAGCCAGAATGGACAATATATAATTCAATAAAATATTTATTCTTCTTTCTTTCATGTAAAAAAAAAATCACTTTACCAAAACCCAATATTTGGTAATCCCTATTGCTGTTTCCTCAGCAACTCAGACAGACTTTTATACTGATGCATTAAAAAAACTATATGTATTCTGTGAATGATTTATCTCAGAACTCATTTTTTCGGCCATTAATTTTTTTTACCTTTAAATTAACATTGAATTTAAGTTAAAAAATAACCTCCTATGGGCATTTTTGACTGAACAAATAGTACAGGAGTCCTTTATTTCAGCAATTTTTTGTGTCCTTCTTAACTCATAAGTGGCTGTGCTGTATCAAATGACAAAACGGCTCTAGTGTCGGTTTTCATTGAGCGAACAGGATGGCTGCTTAGGATTTTTCTTTTCATTGAATGAGAACAAAAAAGAGGGCAATTTTGATCATTTTGTTATCGACACCCCCGACTGACGAAATCAACTTTTTTCATGAAGCATATTATGGCTATTAATTTTTTTAACGTTGTTCTAACATACATAAATTGATACAAAATCGGTTTTTATTTTCTGAAAGGACATAACATTTTTTTTTTTTTTTTTTTTTTTTAATTCGATCTGTACCCAAATTATACCCAAACTGCCAAGTTTTTGTATCACAGCAGCAGCATTTCTTTTTTTATAAACAAGAAAACATTTACCTACATGTAACTCGATTTGGCATATTTAATTTTTTAGTATTAAATATTCATAAACTCTAAATTGTTTTTTTCTTTTTTCTAACTGTGGCAATGAATTGGGTTGTGACAGAGTAATTTTCTTCAAAAGATATTATTCGCCAGCTGTTTAAATAATTTTTGCTCAAAACTGTTCATCTGAATGCTTTGAATAAAAAACCACCCATGTTTCGATACATTCTTTAGGGTTGTAGCACATGCGGAATACCTTTTAGATTTATGAACCATATTGGCATATGGGGGGTGGCTTTATGGAAAGTTATCCGTATTGTCTCTAAATATTGGACAATTGTTCAAAAAATGGTGCAAGCATTTTCAAATACAAGGGAAATAAAATTGCCTTTACTTAGTCCAAAATGAAATACATGTTCTTTCTGAAAAAGAAATTTTTTCTCTGTACTTTAAGCTGAAATGTCAATGATATTTCAAGTGAAAGCAAAATTAACTATGTAAAAAAGCAAATGTAAATGCTTTTTTAAATATAGTTATGAATTTTGCATTTAGTTAGATATTTTTAGTAAAATCATAATTAAAATTGTTTTATTAACTGTGCAATGTAGTGCGTGACAAATTTTAAGAGAAGGTTACGCCAAAAATTAAAAATCTGATGTGTACACCACATGACTTCCTTGTACGGAATATAAATTTATGCCCTTTTTTCTTGCATTCATTTATAGCGATGAATTAATCTACTTCCCAACAGCACATAAACTACAATGAATTCATGTGTTGAGAAGCAACAATAGAAGGCATTCTTTAAAATTCAGTCTAGTATTTGTTTACCATAGGCGAAACTCTGGCACTAGATTCACTTAACAGTTTATATTTCATTCATATTATAATCAGAATGCAACAAAATTTATATCATTTAAAGAATAGAATTATCTAATCGTTGCCAATGTTCTATCAAATACTATAATAAAGATAGAATGGTATAAAGAAATTAAGCACAAAAAAAAAAGAAAAGAAACAGTTTTCTACATATTTAGAATTTCTATTCAATTAATTCAGTTTCTCACTTTCGCGAGAAGAAAAAAAATACATAAAACTCAAATAATATATTAAAATTACGAAGTAAATCTTAAACACTTATTTCCTCGAAAAAAAAACACTTATTTTCTCGATTTAATTGGCAATAATAAATGAAGGCATTATCTTTGTTGTTGCGAAGCTATGTTTCTCTAAATTGGCAACAAATCCACTAGTCTGCTGTTTCAAATGTAAACAATCAATCATAAAAAAAAAAGGCTTAGCAGCACTTAAACAACTTTAAAATTGTTGATAATTCTACAAATATTGCATACAGATTTACTAAAGGCATAAAAACATTAACCGAAAAGATAAAAACAACATTAATTCAATCATTTTTAAAGCAAAAAATGTACAATTAACAAGCATATAAGAGTAAAGAAGAGATCATGAGCACGGGTAACAGAGTGGATTATATATAAATATATTTATATACGTTTTGGTGCGGCTGTGATTGCAACCAAAATACCAGGTGCACTCACATGTTAGCAGTCCTATATACAAATTCAACATTTGAGGCTGCGTTTTTGAGGTTTGAGATACGTACGTAATACGCTATTGAAAAAATTCTCTTCAGAATAATTTTAACAGCAGTTTTTTATTTTTTTGGGAGGAAACCAGCTTCATTCTGTCTTAAGTACAGATCACCACAAAAAAATCGTTTAAATTGCATTCCTATATGGGTCAAAATGGATATTTTCATTGAAGTATGCTGCCTGAAACTTTTCGCGATTACAATACTTTCTTTTTACTTCGTACAAGGAAGTAAAAATACAGGAGCATGTGCATTTAACATTGAATAAAAGTTTATCTCAGCAATTTATATTTAAATTGAATAAATGTAATCAACTACTGTGTTAGCTGTAACTATAGTTCTACTCTTTTTGCTTTCCAGAATTGCTGGAACTATCTCGCATGGCCAATTTAAAAAGCCAGAGAAAGAACATCTCAGCTCAGTTCGTTTGTGAGCAGTCATTTGCTTAGCTGATGTAATTTTTTTATTAATCGGATTAGCTTTCTCTGCATTGTGGATTGCATTCTATTTAGCATTTTAGTAGTTTAAATTATAGCTACTGATTAAATTGCATGATATTGTACAAATATTTGAGGAAAATTCCAGCTTTGTATTACGAACTGGTATACATGCAACAATATCATTATGGTTTCCTATATTATTTTAATACAGATTAATGTTTACTAGCTCAGTGAAAAAAAGATATGGCAGGAAGAAAAAAGTTAAACAATATTTTACATCTACAGAGGGTTTTACATAACTTTAGAATGATTTCAGGGAGATTTAATTTTTAAAATGTAAACAGTATTTTTTTAAATATTCAGTTTGATAGCCTTTTTTCTGAACTATAAGTCTGCATCATGATTCCCATAAAAGAAGTGCTTTTCACAAATTTTCAAGGTTATTGAGTTCCATTCCTCTTCCACCACTTTCAATCCATCCATCAATCGTGATGGGTTTGGACCAGCTCTTCTCAGGAATCTAAAGGCAGAACAGTCTGTAGGTAAAACCTTAGGGGACTTCTCACAGGAATGCATTAAAAAGATATATAAAAGGTTTGTCATGAATCCATCTTCATTTTTTCATGGAATGCAGTGGTATTTTTTGAAGTATGACTGACTTGCTGCTTTGTTTTGTTGAAGTTTCACTCTTTAAAAGTAGTAGGGATAATGAAACAGAATCTCTTCTGCAAATATCAGACGTAAAACTCTCTCTTGATAGAACATTCAGTTGATTTTAAAATTTTTTCCCAAGCTTCTTATTTTTAATTTCTCACTGTAACAGAATTTAACAACAATCATAAACCATACTGAAACTTTTTTTGCATTGATAGAACTAGCTATGAAATTTTTTTTTCTGTGTTTCCTAAAATAGACTTTTTTGTTGTTGCAGTCATTTAGGTAAATCCATGCTTCGTCAAGGGTTGCAATGTATTTCCATTTATCTCCTGCTAAACAGCTTTCATATAGGGTTCTATAAATTGTTCTGCGTTGAGCCACATGCCTCACCAAAATGTCTTAGTTAATTATTTTATTTGTTGCTGCTACAGATGTATTTAGATTTTGCTTTTTGTTACCAATGATTTAACTTTAGAAACAATACGTACCCTTTTTAGGTATTCATTTGGAGTCTTCTTTCCATGTAGAAATAATGATCAATAGTTTTTCCCTTTCTGACTAATAATGTTGTTTATTTTGCACTTGGAAATTTTAATACCATGCATTTCACATTTTCTAACTATAGAACAGGAATATTTCTCTTTGGAAAGGGCAAAAACATATACTTCAATTGGCAGTTCATTTCCTCGTGACATTTTTAAAGAAGAAGAAGAAATTTAAAAGTAATAGATGATATTTCTCATTTCAAATAACAAGCTGTTGCCAGAAATTTTTACTCTAAAACATCTGATTTTTTTCTTCAGTTCTCTATCAAAATCATTATAAAAATATGTAAACATCTCTGTATTGGTAAAAAGGTGAGTATGCTTTTATTTTTAGAGATGCACTGGTATTTGAGAAACTGCTGGACATTTATGTAACCTCATCATTCAAGAAAACTCCCTAAAATGACACCAGAAATGTTTTATGCTAATACAGGGGTGCAAAATCCTCACTTAGAAATTTCCTTCGGGTATCTCTACCCAATTTTTTAGTCTCAATACATTTTCAAAATTTCATCAGTATAATATGATTATTACACTAGTAGTGAATGTATATCAAATATATAATGGAACAAAATCACTCTTTCAAAGTGTGATAAATTCTAAAATATTTTTGAAGCCTTCAAATAAAAAGGGAAAACTTTTTAAATAAAACAAAATTTGAAGAAATACTATTTTATCATTCTTTTTCTGTGTACTAGATGAGCAGGATAAACTGATATTAAAACAATAAAAGAACAGTTCAAAGGGAATTTCAATACAAAATCTTTTAATTCTTTTAAACAATGAATTTACAATTGTTGAAACTATACATTTAAATTCAACCTATATATGTATATAGCAGAACAAATGAAAACTTGACTCAATTTTAAATTTGCCCTGCATTTAGTATTTTTTTACACAATTATATAAAATATGAAATTATAACAGAAGATAGGAGGAAATGTGAGTCAGAGTTTTCCACCTAGTCTGATTTATATATATCCAGTTTTTACATAAGACAAGTGTGTTAAAACTAGCCAGCAATCTGGCTAACTTCAAAAAAACAAAAATATCTAACTCAAACACATGTTTGATGTTGAAGTGCAGGGGTTAAGAAAAGTGGTCCTTGAAATTCATATATGCATCTTTGTATTCAGTTCTTTGTATTTTTCCCAGTCAGGAAATGATTAGAAATCAAGCAGCTGAAATAAATACATGATTAGATTGCTTAACTGTATTTTTTAAACTGAAAATTTAAATAATTACTTTAATACTATACTATACATACTATCTGAGGAAGTATTTTCTCCACATGCTCTACAGTAACTACAAAAGGATGCTGCCCGTTGCCTTCACACTATAAAATAAGACTTTATATAAGAAATTCATTATATTTAAGGTATTTCACAAATGCTGGCCTTACATTTGCAATTATTTATGAACTTTTAACGAAGTACATCCCATCTTGAAGGATGCAGCCACGACATTTAGGAGTAATCAAAAAATTATGTAACAACAGAAAATGACACCTATGACAAGTAAATGATCACCAGAAAAAGTCCGGGACGGCCCAGGACGAAAAAAAGGCGAGAGGAAGGGAGGAGGGGGGAAATTTATAAAAGAAAGGGAGTGAGAGCGGGGGAAAAGGGGGAAGCCAGTCGCTTCAGAAGGAGGAACAAAAGGACGAAATGAAAAATCAATAAGGAAATTACGGGTCAGCCAAACACATTTTTGATCACAAAGATTTTTTAGACCCCACAGGCAAAAACAAACCAAAAAAAAACGGGTTGGGTGTAGGGTGTGGGAAGTTTTTAAAGAATTGGATTTTTTTTATTTTTAATTTAAATATCCAAAGCTTAAAAAAAAAAAAAAACCTCTAGAAAAATTAAGTTTAAATCTTGCTTGGCGTTTTTAATGATTTTCCTACTCTATCTGCTAATTGAATTGACACAATTAACATTTCGAGGTTTTTTTTATTTGTTTCTTTAAATAAGAAATGTACGCAAAAATCTTCCAACATTAATTTAAAGAAATCTAAATGAAATTTTGGAAAAATTGGTTCATTACACTGTATTGCCATCCATAAACGGTTGTCTGTACTACCTTTCCTTTCAGAAATAGTTTAGTTTTTCAGCAATAAATTTTAATTCCCTCCTTCTTTAACTACATATAAATAATTTTAAAATAAATAAAAATAAACAAAAAAATTCACAGAATCACGATCAAAGTTTTATCTCGGTGATTTTTATCTTTCTTTTCAACTTACTCAAAATACCAATTGAATTCAGTGATCAAGTGATGTAATGACATACTACCCATAAAGTAAGACTCAATAATTCCATTTTGCTTCAACGCAGATTAAATAATTTAATTAATGATATAATTTTGTTAAATAATAGACAAATATTAAAAAAAAAAATGAGCAACTTTTGCAATTTCCAAAAATTTCAGAAATTATTTACAATTTCATACACATTCATATAAACGTTTTTTTTTTTTTTTCCCTAATCTAATCGATGATGCACACAATAAAATTCAGCAATCTTTAGTTAGTTCTTTAGATGAAGTTGCAAAAAATAGTTTCAAAATTAAATTTTAAAAATCTAAAGCAAATTTGGAAATCTTCATCCATTATATTGCCATCCACAAATATTGTGTGTAAAAATTTAATTTGTTAGTTTGTCAGGAAGTAGTTCAAAAATTGATGACAAACTTTTGATCACAGAATCAAACACCATCAGTGAATTAAATAAAAGCTTATAAAAATAGTACACTACATATATATCTATTAAAATTTATTATCTAATCTATTAAATTAATCTTCATATTTTATTTTCAATTATCGACTTTCATTAATTTGATCAGCTTTAAAACATCAATAAACATCTGTGTACCAAACATTGTCCTCTGGCTTATTTTAACCACCACAAATACTTATTTATTTATAAGAGAATTAAAAAAGCAGGAATATTATGTATTTTCTCTCTCTCTCTCTCTATATATATATATAATGAAAATTGTAAGTGTTTAGTTTCAATTTACACAAACAAAAATCATTTTTATGTTTTAATTTAGTCAAAATAAGCCTCTTTTAGATTTATTGGAATTGGGGGGGGGGAGAAATACTTTATAGAAATAAAATGCCGTAAATGAAAAAGGCTAATTTCATTCATTTGTATTACAGTAGATACATAGTTGCCCTATGTAAAGTAAATTAAGACTGCAATAGTACAATAGAGTACCAATTAATCTAATTTTCCACTTATCCAGATGGGTGTGTGTGATTATGGCAAAGCCTCGAGGGCTATCTGCCTAAGGGAAGGGATGCCTTCGTGGAGGACTTTCTAAGGGAAACTGGCTCGTATACACGTTACACATGAGGAAAACCATGAAAACTCCCATGCAGCCAGCCCATTCGCGGGATTCGAACCTCGGACCCTTATCCAAATGGGCTGCAGTCAGAGTTAGAATTGATAACTGGAGTTTGACTATACATAACTAATCAACAGATACTAAAAAGTTAGATAGTGTTAAATTGTCTATAATTCCCTGTCTAGCTCAGTTAGAATTATTAGCAATAGCAAAGCACTTAAGAACTATATGCTTTGGTGGAATTGCTTTCAATGTTTATTTCCTAAAGGAAACAGGCTTGCAGTTATGGTGCATTTCAGAAAAACTACAAAAAACCACTCATGCAGTCAGGTCAGTCAAATAGTTGAAACTACTAACATTTTGCAAATTCAACCACACTGCCTTTATTTACATGGGCTTTTAATCCCATCTGATGGTATATTTGTTAATATTTACATCAAATTTGTTTTTCCCCTTCTGCAGGAGGAGTGATTTTTAGGTTATTATATGTCTTCTGAAGCAGCCTAGGCAAATAATTTTATTTGGCCTATTTCTGCATTTGCAGGAAACAAACTGATTACTGATCAGCGCACATGCAGTATACGAACTGTTAATGACCTAACTGGTTTCTTGTTATTGCATTCTGTCAATAAAGAGCATTTCAATTATAAAAGACTCATTATATTTACTGTTTTCAAATTTCCATCAGTGGAAATAGAAGCTATAGTTATATGTTTGAGACATTGTTAGCAACAATTGATGAAAGGTGGTGGTCACCAGAAAGAATCTGTAAAAAAAAATGAATTTTACGGTATGGTTATACATATTTGTTTTTAACAAAGCACTAACAAAATTGTATTTCAGTAAAAAACCAAACAGAACTTTCTTGCATGTTTATATGCAATTTTAAATAAATAGTTTATGTAATTGTATCAAATATGATATGATAACGAACATATATATTAAATAAGTTCCACTGAATTGTGCCATTTTAAATAAATTGTTTACAGATTAAATAAGATTCAAATATAAATTTATATTAAATACCTTCCACATATAGATATAAATTAAATAACTTGTGTTGCACAGACTGTAAATGAATTGACAATTTATCCTGTGCTGTTATCAATTTCTTTTTCATGTGTATTTACAACTTTTGATAAAAAATCACACTTTCTTTTAAAAAAAATTGCTGAAATGACATTTTCTGTCATCAAGGTTGCTACAAAAACAAGTACAATTTTTTATTTTTATTCATTTTCAATCCAAATGAAGTCTTAGATGAACATTTGTCACTAATATATTTATTCAGCAAAACAGATATTTTAATACGACTAAAAGATGTACTACAAATTTTATAAAATTCTTGCCAGTAATGAAATTTTAAAAAATGCAAAAACTAAAGCATTTTAACAGCTATGAAACTATTCGCTGCGGCAATTATTTTTATTTTAGTTTTCCAAAAAGGAAAAAAAAAAAAAAAAAGGCTTAAAGATTCAGATTTTAATGTCACACCAGAGAGTTTGTTATTTATTTTCAATTATTTATTTATATATATTTTTTTTGCTCTCTCTCGGGATCATAGTTTACCAATCTGTTCTTGGACTCGCTCCTGCTCTTGGACAACTTTTCTTTGTTTGTTTGTGTCTTTTTTTATTATTAAACATCACTTTCTTTGCCCTTACACCATATAAAATACAACGATAAAACTACAAAAATTTTAACAACATATTTCTATAATTTCATAAACATTAAGTATTATACCACACTTTTTCTGTCTTTTTATTATTTCAGAGTTCAGTTTTCTTAACAAGATGACTTACACAATCTTTTTAACTTTATTTATTAATACCACTTTCTTCATACTTATGCCACATAAAATTCAAAAGCAAAATCACAAAATCTTTAAAAACAGCTTATTTTTAGAAAGCTGGTTAGAGTGTTAAGTGTTGCCACATATTTTTTCATGTTCATTGAGACAAACAAAAACAAAAAAAAAAAAAAAAAAAAAAAAACTATTTAGGTAGATAGCTGAAAACTAGATTTACAGTGTAATTTTCTCAGTGAAAAGTTATAATTTTAGTTTTTTACTTTATCTTAACAACTTTAAAGAAAAATGCAACCTTACCTTAGCTTGCATGACAGCTCTGGCAGCACTTTCTGAAAAAATGAACAGATACAAAGTATAAAATGAAAATGTATGCATAAATTATTTAATATAATACATGAATGAGTTAATTTATAAACATGATAGCTAAACCCAAGAGTGCAGAGGCAGACATGGGTGAATTCAGAATGCAACTGGACAGCATGAACCATAAAACACATAAATATCTGAAGAAATAATGGGCAGTAAGAAACGGAAACAATAAAGAATTAGAAAATTAAAAATGTCCATCCATTCATCCATTAAGAATAAGATCTCCAGTTATACTTTTATCTAAATACCAGTGAAAGTATGTCAGTGAACCATAGTTATAGTTCATTAGTTCATTATTAGTGTAATAATGCATTAGATCAGTGCTCTGCAACCGGTGTGCCATGAGTAGGATATAGGTGTGCCGCAATCAAATACATGTATTTGACATTTTGCAATTTTTTATCATGTATTTAATACACAATGACAATTTTTTTCCTTAATAATGTCTATTTTAAATGTTTTTATATATTTCACTGTTGGTGGTTGTGTGTGTGTGATTGTAAGTGTCAGTATTTGAATTTTTCGGCCACTTCCTTGATAACTCAGGCCTCTTTGGTGTGCCACGAAATTCCAGGAAGATTTTTTGTGCATCGCAGGTGAGAAAAGGCTGCGGAGCACTGCATTAGATCATTTGAATCATGGCTTCCATGAATGTAGCATGAATTTTTTTCCTTGCTCTCACCTCATTATTTGTACAACCTCAATTTTTTTATCAGTCAGTATTTTTCAATTTTCACCTTTTCATTTATATGATTTTGCAACCACTACAATGGCTTAACCTTCTAAAACCGGGCCGAAATTCTCATAATATAGCCTTCAGACCGGCGCGATCCGAAACAATTTTGCCCCCTCTTTGACATTTTCCTAATGAGAAAAGTCGTTAGTTCCCCTCCATGGATGAAGTAAAATTTACATGTTTGTCAGACGCTTACGTCACATAGTAGAGGGGTGCTAGATTTGCAATTTTTTCGATGATTATTGGCTTTCATTTAAAATGAAGTTATAAATAAATATGCAGTACTGGCGCATATCCAGTGCACACTTTATTATAACAAAATATATGCAATGTTTATATTTCACTCACTATTTCTAATCAATCTCGTAAATAATTTGTGAATTTTTTAACTTTGTTTTCACTCTTCATTTATATTCGCGTATTTTCGTATTAGAAATTAGAAAGCGAGAACAAAATTTAACAAAACATAGTAAATACGGACTAGATTTGTAAGTCTGCAGGCTGGAATGTGATTTTTAATAACATATTTTCATTAATAAAACAATGGTAATGACTAATTTAATGAAATAATAATATTTATTACCATTAGATGATTAGAATGAGATTCAATACAATTAGATTTTGAGATGAACTTACAGCAATAATAAGCTCTACATAACAATAACAGAGATTTAAATTGCTTTTTTCGATAATTTTGGTTATTATAATTATAAAATCAAAATCCGAGATACATTGGTGCGTTTAATCATTTAAATTTAACAAAATATTACATTGGACTATCAGGCAAAGAAGGTAATATCTTTAACGAGAATTTTTCTTTGTAAAATTGGCTTTTGTTTATGTTAGCAGAGAAAAAAATCCATGACTTATACATGCAATCATCAAAAGAATTTGGAAACAGTTTTAAATGTTCATGAAGAATTAATTATACATCAATTTGTTTTCATACGGTAGAAATTTCGTCTAAAGCCATCATTATATCCAAAGATTGGAGTCTGTTTTATTTTCAATGAATAGTCTATTTGCACATAATATATTTTCTAATTTATTTTAGTAAGAGTAATCTTTCATGTTTTCAAAAGAATAAAGGCATATTGGGTGTTGACACTTACAATGCAATAAATCTGTTTTTCCTATTTCTTCCAGCAATGTAAACGATTGCCTTGGAATATTTTCAAAGCAAAATTAAGAAAACTGTTTACTCCAAATTTTGCATAAAGTATCTTCTCGTGTATTTTTTATTTAAAAGTGTGGAATTTTCTCTTTGAAAACATCAAAAATCATGAAGAGCAAAATTAATTCATGAGAAATAACTTTGAAATGCAAATAACTCCATCGTAATATGAAATAGTGGAGGAAAAGTGCAATACAGTTTATTTATTCACAAATAATCCCCCTCATATGCGTAATTTATGTACTGTCAATTGAGAAATATAGGTTAGTAAATTAAACCGGTTATTTCAATACTTTTCCTTTATCAAATTTTTTACGAGCTCTTCAGTAGAGAGCGGTAAAGGTGGCTGAACACTTGTACCTCGCTTGGGTTTGAATCCCGGATAAATAGTTGGATTCACGGTTTTTGTGTAACGTAATGCAAGCCAGCTTCTCTTAGAAAGTCCTCGGCGAAGGCAAATACTCCCCTTATACAGGTAATTGTTGTGTGCTTTGATGTAATTCAGTAAGCGAACAAAATTAATCCAATCAATACCGAAGAACGGGTTGATTACATGTGGAGTTTTCCACCAGGAACGTAAATGCGAGCAATTTTCTCTTAAAAAGGTTTACACAAAAGCATCCATCCCCTTAAGCAGGTAGCGTGCTTTTCTGTAATCCAATCCTAATTTTCATACATTTAATAGTAAGTTGACATACACCTTATTACAGACAAAATAACAACCTTTTTTAAAGATATTTTTTATCAACTTGTCTGAATTCCCTTTATCTCTTGAGGAGTATAAGAATTTCAGCAAATGAAACTAGCCGAAATTTTATAAAATGTAACTGATGTTTATATTCAATTTAGAAGTAACGTGAGCTTTACTGATGTTTAAATACTTTTTGGCAGATTTCATCCTAGAAGAGGGTCTAAAGATAAAATTGATTTATTTTAATTTACAATCAATGAAAATCATTGAAATCAATCACTGAATGAATGAAATCACAAAAACTATTATGCATACAATTGTCTCTTATTTATCTCCTGATAAATCAGACAAAATTGCCTGCATAATAGAAGCACTTTGAAAGAGTTAACAGTTCTTAAGGGTTTTATGCACTCCACAAAAAAAATGTCAAAATAAAATCTTATTATTCATAAGTATGAAAAGCAAGTAAACGATAAAAGCGGGTTTTACCTATTTTCTAGAAGGGCATTAAATCTAAAATATTAATCTATTCTTATTTGTTATGATTAAAAAACATTAAATATGGTAAGCTTAAAGAGCGTGCAAAATCGCTTGACGTTTTAATCATAGCAAAAGTCAGTACTAAAAAAATGCATTTAAAATTATGAGACAGATTGAGAATGAGATGGCCTCTATTTATTTTTATTTTCAAAGTATATTGGCGTGAGACGAACCTGCGGTTTTTGCCAAAATGTAGCCAATGATAAGAAGAGGGAAATAATGCATAGCCAGCGGCTACTCTGAGCAGCGACAATGGACCACCCAAAGATCTACAGATAGGCGATTCTCTAAAATGGGGAGGGCATGGATGGTACGACAGTTGTACCAATGCCGGCGTCTGAGAAAATCTTCTCCTGGTACAACTGCTGTACCAGCCAGCTTCGAGAGGTTAAGAGAGTAACCAGATTCTCACTTTCCTGTAAATGTAACACTTACATACAAGGATTTGATGAAAGCTAACCTTACTGACTTTTCGAACGCGCATTGCGGTCTCGGGTGATACCCGGGACCTCGCCTGTCTGAGGGTCTGATGAGACTTGCCGAAGGAGCTTGCTCCTACTTGGTCGTATCGGACATCAAACTCCGTTGACCAAAGGTCTCGTATCCCCTTGGCCAAGAAACGCACCACTTGAGAGGTCGCTCGAGGGCGGCAGAGATGATGCATAAAGATTCTGAGGACGGTAGAGAGGGCTGTAAGAACTTCATATGGTTGATGTCAGAAAAATTTGAAAAAAATCTTGAATCAAGCCATATTTGGAACCATCTTTTCAAATTAAATAAAACCCAGAGAGCATGATTTAACTAAGCTGATGCACAGTAACAAATTTCCATTTAAATTGATTAAGTCTACTCGCACCAGTATGTTGAACCATCTCAAGAGAGAAGAACCTACCCATCTGAAAACAAGCAAAATGGAAAGGTGAAGCAAACTACTGGAAAGCAACCTGTGTTGCCAAAAATCACTACTATGACAAAACTGGATATTGATTTAAACCGATCGTGGAGATTTTCCAGCTTATTTAAATAGATTTCACCATCAGGATTTTAATCTAGGAAAAGTATGTTATATTGCTGGAGACAACAGATATTTTGCTATATTGACGTCCCTTAACACAGGGAACAAAGTTAGCTTAGGTTATCTGATTATGGCAAAGCCACGAAGACTATCTGCCTAAGAGGAGGGATGCCTCTGTGGAGGACTTTCTGAGGAAAAGTTGCTCACACTCATGTTATAGATGTGAAAGATCGCAAAAAGTCCCATGAAGTCCCACTCACCTAGGTTCGAACACAAACAGGTCAAACTACCTGTATTCGGTGGTCTTTATCACACGGCCACTGGCAAGGCCATGAACAGTGTAAAAGATTTATGTCATGGTTTCTGAAAATAGCACATACATCTACTGTGCAGTCACTTACATCCAGGGGCGTAGCTAGAGTTTCCAGTGCCCAGGGTCAACTGAAGAATTTGTGCCCCTTTCTGTGTGCCAAGAATGGAAAACATTTCCTTAAAAGATTTCGTAGCATTAATTTGGCGCCCTCTGGATGCTACGCCCGGGGACAGATGTCCCCCCTTGCCCCACCCTAGCTACACCACTGCTTACATCCTTTAATGCTTTTCTGTCATGCAGATAGAAACAGAATGTACCAATACGACAGCTGTTCCAATCACACATCCCAATTGGCTTCCATCTGGTTTCAAGACTATTTTATCAAATCATTTGCTACTTGTATATATGCCAATATTACTTATAAGATGATACAAAAGTTAAAAGGAAAACATAAAAAGTTGAAAAGGAAAGTAAAACTATTATAAATAATCCTTATAAATTTCATATATCCATGTCAACATTGATAAATAACATAAATGCCTATTTCATAAAATAAGAATTAAACAAATTTTAGTACTTTCTTGTTTAAGCAGCCATCACAGTTTCCAAAATTAGTAAATTCAACTGTCAAATTTGAAAGGCCCAACTTTTTAATATTAGCAGAGAATTATGTAATAACTGCTTTAATAAGGAAGTAATCAAACACTCTCATTGACTAATAGTAGATATAGAAAAAAATACATACCTTTAATAAAATCTCTCATAATTTCAGCAACAAGCATCCCAGCATCATTTGTAACTTAAAAAAATATTAAACAATTTTAAAACAATGTAACAAATTGATTTATATATAAAAGCAGAAAAAATTAAAAGATTAAAGTACTTAAGAATTATGAAGAACTGGAAGTTAGAATAAGCATAAAAAATTTCAATTTGCCAATAAGTATCTAATGCAGCCATACTTTTAATCTTTAGTGTATAACTTTTAATCTTTAATCTTTTTAAAGATGAATTTAATTTTTTTTTTTTTTTTTTTTATAAATAACAGTATAATGGATAAAATATTGGTCTACCCGGTTCTAAAGATGGACAGTTTTCAAAATCCAACACATTGCATAAACAATACACACTTCAATGAATTTTTCACTATTTTAAAGCTACACCAATTACTCAACTCATTAAATCTCCCCCTATACTGCTAGGATGCACTCAACAAAATGATGCAGATAACATGTGAAGCGATGGGAATATTAATTAATGGCTGTTGGGGATACCAAGGTATTTTGCTAACTACATGTTTCTGTAATTAAGAAAGTTATTCCCAAATTAATGCATTCACAAAAGCACTGCTTATTGGATATTTATAACCTTATGTTAAATACCTTTGAAAAATGCAAGGGCATTGATAGGGATATCCCTGACTGATTCAACAGATAACATCTCAAGCTGGATGCACACTGTCCATTTTGAGAAGACAAACTGATGGTTGCTGGTGACTTAAAACTGACAGTTAGCTAAGCATAATGTACATTCAAGTACAAGAATATTCAAGTATACAGTTCAGACTCTTCCAGATATGAAAATTTGCAGCAGATGCTCTTCTAATGTGCATCTCTTACCTCACATTATCAATATTTACAAGTACAGTATGAACATTGTAATTTGCTCATGCAACAATGGAACACAGTTGCCTGGTCAGATAAATCATACATTAATATTTGTGAACCATGAACACCCTGAAGGAATTGCCAGAAATTTATTCCACATATTTTACTAATAATGGTCCAAATTGTATTAACTGCAAGTTGTTTTTTTAGTCATCATTTTTTTATTTTAAATTGAATTTTTCATTGTTTTCTTCAATAAAGTCAATAATGTCTTCAACCTCCAATAAATATTCAATAGTTCGACTATCTTTAAAGAGTTATGAAAATTGCTAATTTTCACCAGATCAGTAACTTCATTATTATTTTAATACATTTTAATACATAGTGATTGCTATTGTAATTGCACTTTAGATTGTGTTTTATATTTGAAACACTGCATATTGTTCCAAATTCATGGTTTTTATTGTCATATTTTAATTCTTTAATTGTGAGACATTAGATATCTGCCAGTTATTCATGCATGGAGTATTAATACAAGTAAAGAGTCCTTTAGGAATCTAAGAAATAAAATCAAAGTTGTGTATAATGTTCGCTGGCTATAAAAAATTTCCTTTCTTTAATATAGTTACTGCATACAATTTTTATAAAATAATGAATACTGAATAATCTTCTGTTATCAGGAATGGATTCGGATATATTATGGATATATGTATTCCTGTATGCGCATACATAAATATGTAGGCATGTGTATACACACATATATGCACATACACATGTGCATACATACATACATACATACATTTCAGAATTCAGTCCCAATAACAGAACAGCACCCAATATTGTTGACTTAATAGTACATAAGGGATTGTGTAGCAATAAAGTCATTTGTGAAAATCGTAGAATTAAAGGGATCTATGATGAAAATAAAATATTAAACAAAAAAATCGCTCTTATTTGTATTAATGTCAAAGCTTGAAAATCTTTGAAAATCTTGGAGCTATCTGAAATACATGTATGCGAGACTGAGACATTAATTATTTAACTTTTTAAAAAATGGTATAACTGAATTATTCTATGATAGTAATTTAAAATAAACAATTTATTATATTTATTTGAATGATACCAAAGCTTAATTGCTAGAGATGCAAGTTTAAAAAAAAAATCTGAAAGTTTACAGATTTTATATTATGCCCAAATAGGTCTTTTTGTGTTTTTAAATAAAAAATTCGTTAAAGTTTTACAAAATATAAAATAGACAATAAAACAAATTTAAAATTCCAAATTTGGGCTTTCAGATGCTCATATTTAGGTTAACGGCTATGTTATTCAAAATTTGATGGCTGTAAGTACCGTCGTTTTTTCACAATGCAAGAAACACACATATATTCATGCAGATTCTTTATTATTTAATTTCTTTAAATATAATACAGAGTGATAATATCTGGTGGCAATAACTTGCAAAGTGATTCAGACTTTTATAGTGATTCAACAAAAAATCCCGCTTTGAGACGAATAACCCTTCTTGGCCGACGTCATTGGGGCTACTACAGAATTTAGCGCTAATTTACATTAATAATGACTGATTATTGTTATTTTCAGTAGAAAATCACACATAGTATGAAATTCAAAAATATACTGTGACATTATAAGCTTAATCCCCCCCCCCATTTATGACAACTAAACTCTGCCTTTGCAATTTTGTTTATGCAGCTTACTTTGAGTTGATACAAATTTTTCTAACATATCTGCAAAAACACAGTTTTTCTCATCAAACACTTTTTACGATAGTTTTTCACCAATCACTATGCATGGCTCATCTGTTTCATTTACAGCAACGCTGCTTTGTTATACAGTCAAAAGTCATTAATCCGGACTCGTCGGGACTTCGGCGATTCCGGATTATCGATTTTTCCGGATTATAGATCATCAGTTTAAATCTCGTAAGATGGCATGCACAAATTCTAAAATTAAAAATATGAAACCGTATTTTAGGAAATAAAGAACAATTATGATCTAAAGGGTATCAAAATTTACAAAAAAAAGAAGCTTAATACTTATTTGTTTACTTTATTAAACATTTCTTTCTATGAAGGTTGTTTCGTTTTATGTGATAATACTTTCTCTTTAATTCTATAAACAGACATAATTTCTTGTTCAGTTAAAAAGCTCTACTGTTCAAGTCCCGTAATTGCTGTGCCGAGAATACCGACTAACTTGTCAATCGAAATTTTTTCGTTTTCACTAACCTCTCTGTCACCTTCTTCATGTCTTTATCCATTTTTTGCAGCAATTCCACTTTTTGTTTGACGGACATCGAGACATACTTTCGTTTTGTAGATCCTTTGGGAGCTCCAGAATCGGAAATTGACATAATCAAAAGTTCAAGTTTACTTTTATAAAATTGCTCTTACAGTCTGCAAAAAATAATAAGCTGCATCCAATTCGAAGATTAAGGAATAACGCAAGCATGAACATAAACTGAAATAGATAATTGTATAATTTTAGCATATACCGTCCATTATACGTTAAACGCGCACGCGAAAACGTATTCTGCACTTGCGCACACGCATATGCGCGTTCCCGTATAGGTCTTACGCACACGCGTAAACGCCAATGTGCATGTGTCAACACGGCGCATGCGCAGAAAGTTTTTAGCTTTGAGGTCCGGATTATGGGTGTCCGAATTAACGACTTTTGACTGTATTTTAATTTGTAAATTCAATGGCAATAACGTACTGCTCCAAACTATACTTATTACACAGGATTTCACATGACATATTAATACTAATATCAGCAACTTATAAAAGCACAATTTCTTTATTATGATCATCTAGTAAACATTTTGTAAACTAATACTTACTTTTAAAACTTTTATTCTTAAAATGCAATTTCAAAATTTCCTCCACACATTTCTAAAGAAAAATAAAAGATAATTGCAGAATGAATGATTTATGAACCAATAAAATGTTATAATGTTTGGGTCAAAAGCATAACATAAAATTACTAAATTCAATATTGCATATAACATTTCAAAAATGCTAGTAAATTTCAACTGGATTAGGTTAAGATATTTATTTTCAAAAAAAAAAAAAAAAAAAAAATGTATGGTATTCTGACTATCCACAGTCTGAATTTCAATATTCTGTAGAACCACCATGCTTTTGACATATTTTTCACTATTAAGTGGCAACATCTAATCTATAGATTGTGCTTACCATCTCACTCAACAGTTTTCCACCCTCCCCTACAGACAGTCTTTTCTCATAAAGTTTCTTTTTGTAAAATGCTTTTCATCATTACTATTTATGAACAGAATAAATACCAAGAGCCATAAACAATCCAAACAAACATTTTCCACCAATTCTCAAAGTTACCAATGTCTTCACAATTTTTCATGAGGATGTGAATAATAAGAAAGAACCGAAAATGTAACTGCAACTTCTGCCTTACTAGTCACAATAGTTAATGAGGCAGAAGCTAATTATTAATCTATAAGCATCAAATAGCAATACCTCTACCCGGTTGTCAGGCCATACAGTTGATAAATTTTCCACAGTACAGCAAAGAATACTTATACATTATTGCAATCATCTTAAGAAAACTGCTAAATTTTCTAAATACACCAAGCTCTGGCAACCATGCATTTAACCTTCCAGCACTCACGTATGCACAAAATTTACGACAAACTCAGTTTTGTATTGCATTTCTCTCTCACTAACATAAGAACTTTTACTATATTTGAATGGGATATCATTTGTATTTTGCAATAATAATATTAATATTTTATTTCTTAACAAATTTATTATCAATATTCACTCATTTTTGTCATTTTTCGTGCCCAAAATGGTAGAATAATGGATGTCATAAAAAATACGACGCGCACGTGCTCATGTAAAATTGCCAAGCGCACATGCTGGAAGGTTAACCATTCTGTAGGCAATGATGCATATGACAGTTCTTCAGTGTTAACATCCAACAACACCATTTGCATTCTTTTTGTTACACAATAAATTCCAATAGTTTTTTTAAGGTTAAATTGTAAACATTTTCTGTTTCAAAATTGATTTTAATATTGTTACGAAATGTCAAGGCGCGGTAAGATAGCTTCCTTATAAAGTAGGTTTAGGGTTGCCAGAAAATGACAAGGGAAGCCAGGGTTGCCCTCTCGGCGACAAAATTGGCCGACAAATTGCGACAAAATATAAACCCTGCTGGTACATGGAGAGTTAGTCAGTCCATTCGGAGTCGATCGAGTTGACAGTCGGTCATCGACTGCACCAAAAGAGTCTCAATGTATCGCAGTTAGTGCATAGTCGAGAGAGTGTGTTGAGCTCTGGGAATGACTGAACCGAGGAATCGGTAGCTGCACTCTAGTGCATCACGAGTTGTAGCATGTCTCGAGAGTATGTGGAGTTCCGAGAATGACCAAGCAGAGTCAGAAACTGTAGTCTGGTGCTTTGCAGTGAAGCTGTTTCCACTGTTGTAGCCTGACAGTATGAAGGCTGTGTCACTGATTGTTCCAGCGTGTTTATAGTAGTTTTCTGACTACTGTAAAAGCGTGTTTGGAGCTGTCTTGAATAGTACTGGCTAATAAAGTGTGTTCTTTATTCACTCCGAATCCACATATCCCTTACGAAATTAAAGGATTTCCCTACAGAAGAAGAAACTAAGGTAAATTCTGAAAAAAAAAAAAAAAAAAGAGTATACTGCCATAAAATTTCTAAAGAACCACTGCTTCAAAGCTCTTGAATTACCATAATGAAATTTCCACCAGGACAAAAAAAAGAATAGTACTGGCTAATAAAGTGTGTTCTTTATTCACTCCAAATCCACATATCCCTTACGAAGTTAAAGAATTTCCCTACAGAAGAAGAAACTAAGGTAAATTCTGAAAAAAAAAAAAAAAAAAAGAGTATACTGCCATAAAATTTCTAAAGAACCACTGCTTCAAAGCTCTTGAATTACCATAATGAAATTTCCACCAGGACAAAAAAAAAAGAAAACCATATTTTAAGCAGTTGAATTCATTGTTTTGGAGATAAACATACAGTTAAAGCAAAAAAAAAAAAAAAAAAAAAAATAAGACTATAATATTTCACAACCATAAGGTCATTATTCTGTTTCTTCCTAAAAAATCAGCAAACTGAAGCAAGGCCATTGCATTAATATGAAAGTACACTGCTCAAAAAAAAAAAAAAAAAAAAAAAAGACAAAATTTATATTTTTCATACTACTGGGCCGATTCACAAAATTAAATTTCGATTTTCATGTTTCGTAAGTGCAACTTAGGATATACATTATTTTCACACAAAATGAACTTTTTCTGACTTTTTCTTACAGGTGAAAAAAAAATAGAAACATGAACTAAAGGCATTTTTCATGCCAAAACATCAAATTTTTATTTATTTATTTATTTATTTTTTGATAGACCAAAACTGAAAAGAAAGAAGGAATCCTTGTTCGTTTAAAGACTCGTTTTTTGTTTGCAACTTGTAAAGTTGAGCCTATGAAAACTGTCAGAATCATAAAATTTAAAACATTTCCTTTTACTAAATCAAAACAGAAAAAGAAACTTTCAAGGGTATACAAAAACTAAAAGATAACTTCTTCTAAAAGTGTCATTGAGCTTAGTCACCAAAACTAGCAATCTTGATTTCCTAATATGTTACATGTAAATCTGAAATGGTGCCAAATATTAGGAAGTGGGTAAATAAAGCATCAGATACGAAATAATTAGAAACTTAATATTTTTACAAATGCATATTAAAAACCTCTATATTATAAAAAGTACAATGTCTGAAATCCAAACCTCCAGAACACAACCCAAAATATAAATAACAGAACACGACGAAAAAAATTCTCCTCCTCCCAACAAAATCCAGGAATGAAGAACATAATACTGAAAAAAAAAAAAAAAAAGCAGGTTTACAGTAAACGCAATAATTCTCCCATCTAACTGAGATTTCTGCTTTGTACTGTAAAAGATTTGATGACCAGGGAATTGGGCAATAACAACATATTGATTGACGTTACATCTAATGTTGGCCAGTTACACTTTCAGCCCTTGAATTGTTGGAGGGGGGAAGGCAGGGCTGGTGCTACACATTTCACCACTGGGTGCTATTACTGTAGATTTTAAATTCTCCTGCCAGATACCTCATCTCATTAAATAAAAAAAAATTAAAAAAAAATTGCATTCTCTCATTTCTCCTGCCCATTACCTTAATCCAAAAAATTTTGTCATCCTAAATTTTGCTGCTGACTGATCCTCTAATTTTTAAAATTTTTGCCATCAATTCTACCACCTGATACAGCCACACTGGCTCTGGCATTGGCATTGTTGGGAGGTTAGCATTCTCTAACTGATTTATACAATAACAAAAGACCCCCAGTGTGCCTTGCCATCTTACTACATTTACATCATCACCCAGGAAGAATAGTGGTTAGTTACACCGCATACTGATGGACCTGGGTTCAAATCCTGGAAAAGACATGGGTGTTTGTAAGTGTGTAGTGTCTTTGTGGCTAGAGGGCACTTAACTCTTTCCGGCACGCTACCTTTTAAAGTCAGAGTTTTCATAAAAAAAAAAAAAAGGTCTAATTAGGCCTAGAGGAGTACACAAGTAAAATTTTGTGAAGCTAGCACTTATCGTTTAATTTTGTGGGTGTGCCCAAAATGGGCACACTGGTTGAATAAAGCTTCAAAAAGAGTGCTGAAACGAGCATTTGCCTTTTGATTTTAAGCAAGATTTCAGGGTAAAAATTTAAAACTAATATAGAATAAGGAGATTAGCATACAGCCAAAAAAATAACATAGAAATTTCTTTTCAAACAATTCCTTTTATACCCTAAAAAATCTGGAAGATTCCTTGAAAATGAGAGTCTTAAAAACTAAACAAGGCTAAAATATATGGACTGGTTTGTGTTGAGCTGCCATCTACTATAAATAAAGAAGGTTCAGAGTTACCTATAAATCCTTTTTCATTCAATTTTTCTGTGTGTGTAATTTTTGACCCAGACATAGGATTTTAAAGCTATAATGAATTTTTAGGAATTTTCAAAGCAGTCTCCTCCAGCATTAAAGCATGTCTGTAGGTGAATTTTCCAAAGATGCCTCAAGCCGTTAATTTCTTGCAATCAATGACAAAAATGCATTTATAGCCTCATCAATATCATCTTCAAAATGCAAACTCTGACCACATAAGTTCTTTTATAAAAAATAGCTAAAAGTCACACATAGCTAGATTTGGTGAACAGATGTGGATGTTCTATCACTTTGATGTGTTTTTATCAAGAAATTCAACTGTCAATCTAGCTGAATAAGAAGAGGCATTATCACGGTGCAGCATGAGTCCTCTAACAATCACTTCTTGAGAATATCTGGAAGGCGCTTAGTGGCGTACCAGTTAGCCATTGTTTTCTGTCCTTCCAGCTTGATGGCTTTGACCAGTCCTGTACTTCAGGTACAAGAAATGGTATGTATGTTTTAACCAGGGTTGTGGAGTCAGGCAGATTTTGAGTAGCATCTTTTTTCTGTAGCATCTATTACTTCTTTTATATTAAAAAAAATATAAGCTGTAACCCATGTGTTTATGTTTATACATATGAGGGAGTCGAAGTCAGAGTCAGTGTCTTTAAAATTACAGGAGTCTGAATTTTTTACTGGTTTTACTCGTTATAATTTTAGAAATAATGCAGTAGTCAACCATCTTTAAGTAATTTAAGGGTTTCTTTACTGATTCTTCCACACTCCTCCTTCTGGTACAGAGTTAAATTACGCGAAACCCAATGGCAAACTAGTTTTTCCATTTGCAATTCTTCATAAATAATTTTATGTATGGTGGCACATTCAATGTTAAATATCTTCTGTATAATCTGGTAGGTGTAGTGATTATCATTAATTAACATTTTC